GATAGATAGATAGATAGATAGATAGATAGATAGATAGATAGATAGATGGATGGATGGATGGATGGATAGATGAGCTTTGTTCGAAGGTTTCACTTCTTACCAGTCACACCTGCACAGTGTTTTTTATAATATTGTTATTTAACATCAGCTGCATTCTGCAGCCATGCTTCATTTAAAACCATAGATACACTAATTATGTTTAACATACCCTGATTTTTTTTAACGCACAAACATTTGATGGTTCAGTCCAATTCAACATTAAATTCCTACTATGTACAATGTCCTGTGCTAGGTGCTAGGGATACATACGTACATCTATAATATAAGTATGTGTGTGTGTGAGTATACATATATAGGTGAATATATATATATATATATATACACACACACATATATATATATATGAACTTATAAAGTCCCTGCCCTCAAGGAGCTTATACTCTATTTGAAGAATAAATTAGGAAGACAGATAAGTATGATATAATGCAGAATGAGTTAGGAGAAAAGATGAGATTCAGATATAACACAATAAGAAATTTTGGGAAGAAGACATACTTTTCTTGTGGAGGAATTGGGAATCTTGGAATCCTTGGGATCCAGTCATCTTGGAAGCAATTGCACCTGAATGGGGCCTTAAAAATGGAAATATAGAAGAATTGTGTTCCAGAGATGGAAGACAGGCTGGAAAAATGCACAAAAACAGGAAAAGAGCCAGCTTCTGTTTGTGTTTTATCCTAATAGGCAACAAAGAATGACAAAGTTTTTGAGTAGGAGAATTCAATGGATGCTGATGAGGAAGTCAGCCATTTCATTGAAAATTTTGAGAGCATGTGAAATGTTCAGATGCCACTTATGAGACTATTTATGAGAGATGGCAAGTGGGTAATTAGAAAGTCAGCATCTACTAGTTTTGAATAGGTGATCTGAGGCTTCACATTGGTATAAAAGCCAAGTCAGAACCAGACAAACATCTATATCTAGCTGTAACCTGTCAATCGTGGAAATCACATAGTTATTTTAGGGAAGGATCAGACCTAAGTTCTATTTTTCTCTTCTATTTCCTTTTCTCTTCTCTTCTTTTCTTTCCTCTTTATTTGTAGATTTTTCTTGGCTCATCCAGAACTTTTTCAAGAATAGCTTCATGTACAGACAAGTTTAAGGACTTCATCAACTGATTAAATAAGTATGATCAAGATAGCATTTCCTCAGGTTGGATAAGTCATAACTAATTTACTGATTGATTCTTTAATTGCTCTAAATTGCCTCAAGATATTTAGAGACTGTCATTCTCTCTCATTTTCCATGTTGCCTCATTAATGAAGACATGAGGAATGAACTTTACATAAAGGTAAACAGAGGGTTGATGTCCCCTCAAATATACCGGCTTCCCAATTTATCAATCTCCTTGAGGTCCATGATCTACATGATAGGTGTCAAATACCCACACAGCTCCTGAGTGCAGCCTGAACCAGATTAAAATGATATTGGGAAATGTTTAACAAAATAAATAAAAAATACAATAAAATATATTATGTTACTATGTGTTTTTCTAACTCAAAAAGTGAACTATAAAGATCCCTATGTATGATTTTGTAGCTCCCGTTCCTACTTAGTTTGACACCACTGATCTACATCTTTGCTCCGTTTCAGTCCCACAAAAAAAATTTTATCACTCACAAGTGTTCTGATCCATAACTCTGAGATTCCTCTGACTATAGATTCCTATTCTTCCATTGCTCCCTATGCCACATCTCTCTTAAAACTCTTTTGTCATGACTATCACTGTGCCTTTCCCTTCTTTCCCGTCCTATCAAGCCTTATACGCCCTCACTTGTCTATTAGGAGTCTACATCCTACATTTGACTAGATCAACTTTCCACTGCCCTCTACCCTTGATTTCATTGTTCACTTTTTCTCTTGCCCCAATCTCTTTCCAAACTCCAATCTTGGGTTATTTCTACCACAAACCATTTCCATTTCCACACATACGCTACCAAAGTCACACAGTCATGCAGAGGGTCCACCACAAGTTTATCATATGTAATCTTAACTGGACCTCTGTTGTTATATGCCCTTCCTTTTTCTCTTCACTGATTCACTTCTTATTCTACTCACCACAAGCATCTGCTCTAAGCCTTCTCTTTTTTTCTGCAGGTGACCTTTGCTACCCCTACCCCTCTGGCTCTCACCAGAGCATCTGATCTCTTTTACTGAAGAAGAAAAAAAATAAGGCCATTCATTAAGTGCTCTTCCTTTTCCTCAGTTCTACACTTTACTTCACTTCACCATCACCCTCCCCCACTCCATCTTCCTTAGATTTAATCTCAGAACAAATAGCTCTTCTTCTTAGTAGTGCCAACCTACTGAATGGGTGTTGCCTCAGTCAAAGTGAGAACTCAGAAAGACCTCAGCTTAAAAAAGCAAAGGTCTCCCACTGCATCTCAGGCCATCTCCAGTTGTCCTGATCTGTATCTGGCCACTGAACCCAGATGGCCCTGAAGGAGAAAGTGAGGCTGGTGACTTTACACAGCCCTCCCTGACTTAAATCCAATTCACTTGCACCATCTTCCTGATGTCATGGTCCTCTTCTGGGAACAAAGGAAAAACCACACAGAAGCCAATCCCATTACTTATGCTCTTGATTCCATTCCCTCTCATCTCTTCTTGGAGCTTGTCCCAACAATTAATCTCTTCTCTCTGCTTTATTTTTAATATGCTCTTATGTATTTAACTCCTTCCTCACTGCTTATAAATATACCTAGTTATCCCATATCCTTAACAAAAAACCTTCACTTGATCCTTCCATAATCTCAAGCTATTAGATCAACCAGTATCTCTCCTCCTTTTCAAACTCCTTGGAAAAAAAATCTTCTGCATCGCCTCTACTTTCTTACCTCCCACTCATTTCTCAACATCTCACAATATAGCTTCCATTCTCACCACTCAACTGAAATTGCTCCCTCTGAGGTTACTAAGATCATTTCATTGCCAAACCTTATGGCCATTTCTGAGCCCTCATTCTTTTTGACCTCTCTGCAGCATTTGACAGTGTTTACCATCCCCACCTCCTACACATTCTCTCCTCCTTGAGTTATCATGACTCTATTGTTTCCTGATTCTCCTCTTACTTAGTTGAACTCCTTCTCACTCTTCTTTCCTGGATCAACATTCATGTGCCCCTCCCTGTGTGTGGGTCTATCCCAGCCCTCCTCCTCCGAGGCCCTCTCTTCTTTAAGATCCCTTTCAGTGATCTCATCAGTTCCCATTGATTCAACTATCACTTATTTGAAGATGACTCCTAGATGTATATATTTAGCTCCTGAACTCCAAGCCTCTTCCAAAATCTTCTGATTGGGAATATCCAGCTGAGTGTCATGTAGGTATCACAAATTCAACATGTCCAAAAATAGAATTCTTACCTTTCTGCCAAAAAAAATTGTCTTTCAAAATTCCCTATTTGTTATCATGGCACCATCATCATTCCAGGCACTTAGGTTTACTTAGGACTGTAGAGTCTTCATCCACTATTTCCTCTCTTTTATACCCTTCAAATCCAATCAGTTGCCAAGTCATCTTTCTACCCCCACAATATCTTTAACATCATATCTCTAGCTGTCCTCCCACCAGTTTAACCCTCATGATATCTTGTTTAGGCTACAGAAATCGCCTGCTGATTGGTCTTTCTATCTGCAGCTTTCCTCTGTCTCTTATCCAATCTCTACCCAACCAACAAATTGAAATTCCTAAAAAACAAAACAAAACAGGTGTGATGATGTCAGTCCTTTGCTCATAAAACTTCAGTGGTTTTCTCTTGTATCTGGAATAATGAAGTATGAACTCCTCTGTTTGACTTCTAAAGCCCTTAATAATCTTTCTCCAGCCTGCCGTTCCACGCTTATTGAACATTCTTCTTCATCATACGTTCTGTGTTCCAGACAAGTGGTTGACTTGAGTTTCTTACTATGAACCATTCCATATATCATCTCCCTGCCTTTGCACAGGCTGTCCCTCTTTTTTCTAGAATGCCTCCCTCTTCACTGCTATTCTTAGAATACTTAGAGCTCCCTTCAAAGCTTAGCTTGTCCTACCTCCTGAAGACTCGGGAAGGCTTATCCTGAGTCTCCAATTGTGATTGACATCCCCATAGAAATTATTTTGTATCCAATTGGGTATATAGATGTAGTTTTCCCACCAATAGAAAGTAAGCTCCTTGAGGGCAAGGGATGTTTTGTTTTTGCCCTTTTATCCCCAGTACCTAGTACTGTGCCTGGTACACAATAGACATTTAATAAGTGCTTATTGAATGAAGTACAAAAAACTCAAGAAAACTAAGATCTTAGTTTTGGAAAGTTTGGAAAGACTTAGTTTGGAAAGACTCTAAATCGATACCTTCCCCTTCCCATTTTTCTCAAGTGAAGATTATTGGTGTCTTTATGTTTTTCTTACTTTGGAGACATAATGGAGAATATGGAATTTGAATGAATCAGGGAAAATGGAGCTTGGTTTTTGCTTGGTCAATCTGAAAATCATTGCCATCACAAACCTTCTTTTCTTTCTTTTCCATCTTTGCTATCTTTCTTATGCTATTTTTTTTCTTGCTCTGAGAGCTTTTGAAGGAGTTAATACAAGTAGGCCTATACAAGTAGGCAGCCAAAGAGAGGACAAGGAGAGGAAAGAAGAAAAGAGAAGGCTACAGAGTGTAGCACAAGGAGCTCTAGAAGTCAGGAGACCCCTGATACTTAGTCATGTGGCCATGTGCAAGCTATTGCCTCTCTCTGAGCCTCAGTCTCCATCTGTAAAGAGGGAAGAATAATACTTGCACTCCTTACCTCAGAGTCATGTTGTAATAAAACACTTTTTAAAATTATAAAGCATCACAGAAATATGAGAAGGGGGAGGTGTCAATTTAGAATGTTTCCAGTTTTCCTTAAATCTCATTTTTCTTTGCCATGGAGGAAACCATATCAACAGAGCACAAACTCTGGAGTCATTGGATTTAGAGCCAAGTGATATCTTGGATATTATCCAGCCTAACCCACTTATTTTACAGATGAGAAGACTGAAGCCCAGAGAGATTAAATGACTTTCCCAAGATGGTACAGGCAATAAATAGAAAATCCAGGAGTCTAATATAGGTCTTCTGACTCTAAATCTGGCGCTTTTTCCACTGTACCAAGCCCCCACCTTCCATGCTACCAAGCATGGTAGCATGGGTTATGGGTTAAATATGGGTTATGAATTCAAAGTTAGAAGATGCCTTAGAGGCCATTAAGTCCAACCATCTCATTTTAAAGAGGAAGACACTGAGGCAAATAGAGGTTAGGTGACTTGCCCAATGTCCCATAGCTGGTAAAGATCTGAGATGGAATTTGAATCCAGGTCTTCTGGACGCCGAGTCTTCTGCCTTATCCCCTATACAAGACTGCTTTAGGGGACTGTATTTTTGTCCTCTGGCGACTTGTTTAACTAAACTCAGAGAAGATCATCACCCTAGAGTTGGCTACCAAGGGATGGATTTTTAGGTTGTGGCGTAAATCCTGCATGTAAATTACAAAGGGAGGCAGTATTGTATATCGAGGTCTAAGGCTCAGGGCTTTATTTATTTATCAGAGCCTGATAAATCAGTCATCTGGCTCCATGGACTCTGTCTTGATCTTCCTTTCAGGTACTCAGATATTCACAAATTAACCTCCTGCATAATTACAAGGGATGGAAAACGTATGGGTACAAATTAGCCACAAGTCCTTGGTACACTTGAACATTTTGAGTTGTTTCTATTTTTTCCAGAGCCTGAAAGCAGGCACTAGAAAAAGAGTGTGTGTCTGTCCTAGAGATAGGGCCAGTCTGGGCACCCGTGTTCCTCAGGGGTGCAGAAATGAGGCCATTTTCTTAGCTTCCTAAGCATTTGTCCAAGCTATTTCAAATTGTTAACCAAGATGAGTCAGAGACCTTTAACAAACTGCCTTTGCAATTTCCAATAAATTATTGCAACTCACGACTTAAAGGAAAATAGAGCTTGCATTATTGGTTCTGTATTTTGATCATTATCTTCAGGGGATGTATATTAGCTAACATTCAATGTGCAGCTCATACCCCTATGAGCTATTTGTCATATTGAAACTAAAAGAAAGGAGCTTAATTGAAGTGGTCATCTATAATGGATTTGGGATGAGTCAATCAATTGAGGTGATTCATTCACAAATTTATTAAATTTGTGTATGGTGGTAGTAGTGGTGGTAC